TGATGACCCTTCCTAACTGACCTCCAGCACTTGAACTTGACTTCTTAAGCACACCACCTGCTCGCTCTGATGCGTTCCGCTTTTGGCAGACGGCTGCCCTGCGTGTTTTGTTCTCAAACGTTTCGATTACTGCCCGCAGCGATAATAACGAAGTCTTTATCTTCCAGAAAACTAACCAACGACAGAACTGCTTTGTTGAAAAGCCTTGTCATAACAGCCGGTGGTCACAGGGAAAGACAATGATTTTACCATGGGTCACCTGGGACGCCGTAAAGTTCCTCCCAGACTTCAGCTGACAGTGAGCACGTGGTCACCTTACCCGAGACATGCTGGCCCCTTGTGGGTCCTGACATATCAGGCAGCCGTGTGCTTCCGGGGCTAGAACATCCACCCTGTAAGCAACCTTCTCACTCGCCCCCAACTTCCATCAGCTCTGTTAGCAGTGACACCCGCCCTGGAGCCTTGCCAAACCCCTCCTTTTAAATTCACCCCTTGCCCCTTTCGCTTTCCACTTCATTTGATATACAACTAATTACCCTGTTCATCCTCTCCTACCACTAACATACAAGCAATCAGAAAGCATTTTTTCTTAACTGCTATAACCATGAATAGTGGCCCAGACAGACTACATACTGTAAAAACACTTCTGGTTAGCCTTGACATTTTCTGTCAAAAAATGCTCTCTAGGGAAAAAAAAAAAAAAAAAAAAGCCCTAACATTGCTAGCAAGAAGAGATCTGTTTTCTTGCTAACACGTGAGGCACACAACCCGCCAGCGCCCCTTCACTTACCCGGATGCCTGTACCATTGTCTTGGATCTGAATCAATTTCAGGCCGCCTTCTTTAACGACAACTTGGATGCTTGTGGATTTTGCATCTAAACTGGCAGACCAAACAGAGGAAATTATTCTATGGGCATAATTCCACACTTGCCCTTAGCCAACAGGCCGAGAAGCGATTACGATTCCAAGTAAGGATTCTAAGACAAGTATTTTAATATGGACCAAGTAAGTACAGAAGTACCCTATTCCCTGATTGCTCCGGTCTTGTGTCCTACAGGCTTCCTCACTGCACAGGGTGTGAGACTCTGAAAGGGGGCACCCTGCTACCAGGACATCCTGAACTATCCTTCCCCCAGGGAAAAGAGAACGAAGTTAGAAGGGTTTTTAGCACAAGCCTCCATCTCTTCCTCTTTACAACTCATTTTACTATCTCTCATCCCTGCTTTTATTCAGCCTCAAATTCCCTAATCGGCTCTAATACAAATGATGAAACAAAAAGTGAAGGGGGGGCAGGGAAGGCAGTGTAGAAAGTTCCTTAAGAAGCCGATCCACTTTGTTTTCAAAGAGCAGCCCGCAACTACAGCTCGCCAGCTGCAGGAAACTCCGTCTGCGGCTGCGCACAAAAGTTTATGAACTCTTCACACAGAATTCTTGATTTAGAAACGAAAAACCGCCTTCACATAATATCTGCTTAAAAGGGAAAATCTTCTTCCCTCCCACTACCAACGTCCATCTTTAACTTGGCCCAGGCTGCATTTACAGTTTTCGATCCAGGCGCCGCCTTAGTTAACGGGAACCTGGGAAACACGATTCCTCCAGGAGCGCGCCAAAGAGGCCCGGGAAGTTCTCGCGAGACAGCGGGGACGGCGCGGGAATCCCGCGGGCCGCAGCGGCCGGCGCGCACGCGCGTTCCCGCTCAGGGAGGCCGGCGCCGCCCCCTGCGTACCAGTTCTCAATCATCTCCTTGATGGCATTTGCCGGTCGCTGGATCACTTCCCCCGCCGCGATGCGGTTCACCACGGTCTCGTCCAGGCGCCGGATAACCCCGGCCACCAGCGACATTTTGGCGCCAGAGCAGCCGAGGGGCGTGCGAGGTCACGTCACCGGAAATGCCTTTCAGCCAATCGCTGTAGCGTTTCAGGGCTCCCGTCTTTCCTTTTGAATTCTGGCGCAGGCTGACGGGCGCCACCCTCCAGCCGCAGCGACCGATTGGTCAAGCCGTCTGCCTGTCAAGCGTCTCTCAGCTCCGTGATTGCCGGGCCGCTTGGTCCCGCCCTAAGACTGTCGCATTCCTCCCGCAGCCAAGAAGGTGCGCTTGCGCGTGAGGGCCGCCCCGTTCTGATTGGCTCGCTCGCGGGAGCGGCAACACCTCCAGCCAATAGGCAGCGAGCGTCCGCGCGGCCGGGCTGAGGTGATTCGGCGCAGCGCTGGCGCGGCCCCGCCCCTCTCCCTGCGGCGTCGCGGAGGTGGGCCCCGCGCTCGTGTCCTTCCGCAGAATGTGGATGACGCCCAAGAGGAGCAAGATGGAAGTAGACGAAGCTCTGGTTTTCCGGCCCGAGTGGACCCAGCGCTACCTGGTGGTGGAGCCCCCGGAGGGCGACGGGGCCCTGTGCCTCGTGTGCCGCCGCCTCGTCGCTTCCACCCGCGAACGCGACGTGAGGCGCCACTACGAGGCCGAGCACGAATACTACGAGCGGTACGTGGCGGAGGGCGAGCGCGCGGCCCTGGTGGAGCGGCTGCGGCAGGGCGAGGTGCCCAGCGCCGACCCGCTCACGCCCGAGGAGAGGGCCGCCCGCGCAGGCCTGGGGCTCTGCCGCCTCCTGGCCCTCAAGGGTCGCGGCTGGGCCGAGGGCGACTTCGTGTACCAGTGCATGGAGGTGTTCCTGAGGGAGGTGCTCCCCGATCACGTCGGCGTGCTGGAGAACATGGATCTATCCCCGGAGATCGCGAGGCAAAGACTCCTGAATATCGACAATAACCTACGCAGTCAGCTCGTCCACCGCGCCCGGGACTTTAAGGCCTATTCCCTTGCCCTGGACGATCAGGCTTTCGTGGCCTACGAGAACTACCTCCTGGTCTTCATCCGTGGCGTGGGCCCCGATCTAGAGGTGCAGGAAGACCTGCTGACCATCATCAACCTGACTCATCACTTCAGCGTCGGGGCGCTCATGTCGGCCATCCTGGAGGCCCTGCAGTCGGCGGGGCTCAGCCTGCAGAAAATGGTCGGCCTCACCACGACCCACACCCTGAGGATGATCGGGGAGAACTCGGGCTTGGTGTCCTACATGAGGGAGAAGGCCGTGAGCCCCAACTGCTGGAACGTGATCCACTACTCGGGCTTTCTCCACTTGGAACTCTTGACTTCGTACGACGTGGACGTAAACCAGATCATCAATACCATCTCGGAATGGATAGTTCTGATTAAGACCAGAGGGGTGAGGCGCCCCGAGTTCCAGCCCCTGCTGATTCAGTCCGAGTCGGAGCACGGGGAGAGGGTGAACGGACGCTGTCTGAACAATTGGCTTAGGAGAGGGAAAACGCTAAAACTCATCTTCTTGCTCAGAAAAGAGATAGAGGCGTTCCTGGTGTCGGTCGGGGCAACAACAGTCCACTTCACGGACAAGCAGTGGCTGTGTGACTTCGGCTTCCTGGTGGACATCATGGAGCACCTGCGAGAGCTCAGCGAGGACTTGCAGATCAGTAAAGTCTTCGCAGCTGCCGCCTTTGACCACATCTGCGCGTTTGAAGTAAAGCTGAATCTATTCCAAAGTCACATCGAGGAGAGAGATCTCACCCACTTTCCCTCGCTCAGAGAAGTTGCTGAGGAATTCCAGCAGCAGTTCACCGAGGATCAAAAGATCTTTGATCCCGATCGGTACCAGATGGTGATATGTCGGCTCCAGAAAGAGTTTGAGAGACATTTTAAGGACCTCAAGTTCATCAAAAAAGACTTAGAACTTTTTGCGAATCCATTCAGCTTTAAGCCTGAATACGCCCCGATTTCGGTCAGGGTGGAGCTGACGAAACTTCAGGCCAACACTAGCCTTTGGAACGACTACAGAATCAAGGACTTGGGCCAGTTCTACGCCGGCCTGTCTGCCGAGTCTTACCCGATCATCAAAGGGGTTGCCTACAAGGTGGCATCTTTGTTTGACAGCAACCACATCTGCGAGAAGGCTTTCTCCTATTTGACTCAGAACCAGCACACTCTGAGCCAGCCGCTGGCGGATGAGCATCTGCAGGCTCTCTTCCGCCTAGCCACGACGGAAATGGAGCCCCACTGGGATGATCTCGTGAGGGGGAGGAATCAGCCCAGCCCGTAGGCGATTGCAATGCAACGGTGAAAACCTGCAGGACTTCAGTTGAAAACGCAAAGCTTGATTTGCCTTTTTGGTTTTTTTTTTTTGTTTTTATTCAACTTGACTCGTTTGGATTGTGGGAGAGCACCGAGCTCTAACCAGCTGTCTAAATTGGTCACAATTCAAATCCTTCAGACAGTTGCCGGCCTTTTTTTTTTTTTTCCATCTCAAATGGCATCCTGGAACTGGGGGGAAAAAAAAACAGTTTAATGACAGAATCGATGTCTTTGACTTTTGTGATAGAATTGATTTTAAAGAAGTTTAATATTGATAATGTGAGTTGAATTAAGTCTGGGGTTTTTTTTTTGACGTGACCTTAAAGATACATGCCAAAAAAATTTTTTTAGCTCTTATTTTTAACGAAGTGTTAAAATTCTAAGACACGTAGTCTGAAATTGTGAACTACCATAACGTGTGTTTGAAACAGTTGGCAGAAACTCAACAAGTGTGTAAGTTTCTGAAATGAAAGAAGATACAGTGGAGGTATTTTGTCTAACAATGTTTGACACTATTTTTTTTTTTTAAAAAAAAAACCTGTTTCTGAGTCTGAAATAAATATTGACAGATTTCTTCCCTCTCACTTTTCCCCTACCCACTCCAAAGACGGTGGTGTCACCAACAGAGGGAGTAATCAAAACTTTAGAGGAGCAAAACTTACTTTTAAGTTGCTGATTTAGGAGGCATCCTGCAATTTGGCGATCAGGCTAACCAGTTCCCCAGGGGGGGTTTCCCCGGCCTATTTCACAGCTGGGAGCTGCTGGGTCAGCTCGCCTGTGAAAGGACCACGGTAAGTATGCAATCTCAGCCGTTGTCAGGTATTTTTTCCTCCCTACTCTTCAGACAGCAGTTGACCATGTCAAAAGAGTGAGGGGAAAAAAAAAAGTTTTTTGCTCCAGGTTCAGGAGGTTGCAAGTGCTTTAGCTTATTGTCAAAGCTGCAAGTTTTGCTTTAAAAAGAAATTCCAACTTAAAGGAAAGAAAACAATTTCCCAGTGATGATGTAGGTGTCGTAGTTGTCTTGTTGGCTGCCGGAAGTGGCTGGGTAGAGCTACTCTCAGAAAGCAGGTACATGCGCAGGTTGTATGATTGCGTATTTCTGGTATGACAGTGCTTTATGCCTAAACAATTTAAAAAAATGCATCAGAGTCCAGTATGTAAAACTGATTTAAAAATAGGACTCAAATTGCAGATCCTTCCTCAAGTATAATTTGCTAACTGTTGTGCTGAGTCCTGTCTTAATCATCAAAGCGCATTCTAGCTGGCAGATGGAACGAACTAGAATGCATCAAGAATTGAGAGGACACGGTGCTTGACCAGTCACAGCACGTGCCATAAGTCTATAGCCAAAGCGTGTCAGTGGGTCTCCATCAGGGGCAGTAAATCTTTTTTTCAGAAGGGTGTTGGGAAATGAAGTGGCACTCTTTGGGTTGTCATACTTCTAGAACGTTCTAACAGCCAAAAGACTCCCACCCCTGCAGTGTCTATGTTCCCCTGGCACAATGAATAATTAACCCTTCTAGAATGTCAGTTGACCCCGATGTAGACTGACTGATTTCAAGGGACATGGCAAATTACCGGTAGAATGAAACGAGAAGGGCAAGTGGGCAAATAGGAGACAAATTCCAAATTCAGGTCTGCGTGGTAAGGTACAAGGAAAGCTTTGGTAAGTTCCAATAGCTCACAGTACCCCTTATATATCAGTAAGCAACATTGTGCTAAAGAGCTGTTTCCTGTTGTACATAGAACAAGCTTGTATACTGACAAAATATTTATCAAGACTGTCAGGATGAGATTTAAAACAGAAGAGGAATCTACCGGTAGTTTCCCAGTAGCTTTAAGTATTTTTCTTCCCTCCTTTTCTCACAGTTTTATTTTTTGTAAGAAAGAAGACTTGAGAGCAGTTTTGCTTTTTCACCCCAGTGCTTTCAAGTGCGCATTGTACATTTGTGACGTTCTGGTATGTTTTACTTACAGTGATAATCGGATTCATTCACGATGTTAGAAATGGAAGCCAAGGATTTTAAAAATTTGCTCTCAGCAATAGAAAATTTGCTCCGAATTAGTCTTCTTTGTAAAAAGCTTTCGAAAGTGTGGTATTTTACTGTTTTCTGTATTTCTGTTAACTGCATGGCAGTCTTATTTTTTTTTTTATTATAAATACAGTTATTACTGGTCATGTGGTATCAGTGAATATAGTCAAGTACTCATTTTTGTGGGGGGAGGGCGGGGAGAGAGCTCTGCCCTTAGCAGATGCTTTCCTGTTTTTTGAAATATCTGTATTTCCAGTTTCTCATATTGCCATCTAAACTGGTCTGCCTGGCTCAGTATTCTTGGAATGCCTGGTGACTTTGGCTTTGAGGAGGTAACCATCTACGCTCTCACTGTCCTGGCAGGTACCTCTTGCCTTAGGTTGGTTTTGCGCGTTGGCTTGTTCACGGCTGCCTTCCGTCAGCTCCTCCACCTGACCTGGTCTCCCCGGCATCCGCTTCCATCCATGAAAATGGCTCGTCAATTCCTCTCTTCTGCCTCTCTCTCTCTCTCTCTCATTCACCAATCTCATCGAGTCCATTTTGCTGTCTCACAGGCACCACCACCTAACTTGCTGCTTCTCTCGCGTCCCCTCTTGGAGTAGATGGCACTGCTGTCAGCCACTCGGCTGGCCTTGGCCTGCCACAACAACTTGGTTATCTGTGACTTCTGCCAACTCTACGGTGTGTTATCCTGCTTACTTCCAAACTCTCGAGCTAACCTAACTTAGTCTCCTCCGTAGTCTCTCTCTCCTGTGGATTCCTTGTCTGTACTGTAGCCACATTGTTTCCCCGAAGACCCATCTGGGCACTCCATCACATTCACCATTTCTGTTATTCTGTCAGGTACTAATGCCATTTCACCCAAGAATCTTTCATTTATGCCTTCTGGCAGACCCATCGAGTAGGCCAGGTGCCCTTCCTGTGGATCCCGTGGACACCCTGCTCCTCCCCAACCACATACTTGGGACATTTATCATGATTACTTGCTGATCCCTGCTAGACTGTAAACTTTACAAGGACAGGGACCACACAATCCTTGCTCATTTGTATCTCTGGTGCTTAGCTCAATGCTTCACATTTCACTACATATGTGAATAAGTAAGTATTCGTGCAGTATTCTCTGATCTTTGACATTTGCGATCCCATTTGACCTGTATAGTCTTCTTTGCTTAGATTGTACAACGGGTGATTGTGATCCACATGTTACAGGTTAGGAAGTGAAGCCCGGTTCTTTGTGACTAGATATCTTACTTTCTGTTCTCATAGTGTAGTGTTGTGCTTGGCATGTGACTCAAATATTTAAGATGTCAGTGGTCAATAAATTGAGATTGCAGTTTTCCATAGTAAACATTAGTAAAGTCAAGATTCAAACCCAGGTGAACTTAGGTGAGTCCGTTGTGCAATATTAAGTTTGTACATCCATGAGGTTGTAGGTATTTTATTTTTCCAAAGGCAGAATTCTAAAGAAACTAACATAGAAAACAAAAAGATAAGACCTATTTAATGAACCAAGACGGTACTTCAGTCATTAAAAAGTTGCATTCCGTATCAGACAAACATGATGCTTAAAGAGTTAATATACACTTTTCCTTTTGTAGGCGTCCACCCTAGGAGAAAATGGCATGCTATTTACTTCCTCCTTTCTTTACAGATGGTTTCTGACTTCTGGGATTTAAAAGTAAGTAAATTTAATAAAATACCAAAAGAGTGACTTAGCCCTTCCAGTCACCTTGATGCTCTGGTCACTTGCTTCCCTACCTGGAGAATGTCCTTATCACTCCCCCAAGTGGAAACATCCGAAGCTGACAGGTCGTGGGTCTGTCCTCTTCAGGTTTACTCTGTGGCTTTGCCTTCTTGTCCCCCATGCTTCTGTGTACTTCATCTCTGGGCGACTGGGGCTCCCCAGGCTCAGATTGGAGGGCTGTCTCCCCCCCGTCTCCTTTTCCTGGAGTCATCTTGTTCACTTTTAGGGATCAAAGAGTTGGACTTGGTCTGGGGCACATGAATTCATGCAAGATGTCTTAACAGTAGATGTGATAGTCCTGCGGCACTTTGATCCTTGCTACAAAAAAAAAGTGTAGTCAGCCTTCAAGGAATTACTTTTACCTTTTTGTAATTGAAAAATTGCCTCATGCTACCCAGTAAGTACTTAAGTTGGTGAGTTTTCTACCACCTTTCATTTCTTGCTGCAAGCTGACAGTTCTTTTCTCAGCTCATCATCTGCCATACATTTTGTCAAACGCAGTCAACTGGAACCACAGAGTTGGTTTATTTGTTTTGTTTTCTATAGTCAAGGGCAGATGATTTGGCATAGAGTTTCTATCAAGGGACAATTTTGCCTCTCCAAAATGTGAATTTCCTACAAAATTTTCCATCTTCGAATAGCAGTTTCCTAAAATTGCCTCTCAGCTAACCAACTAAGCCAATTTTAAGTATTTTAGGTCTTTTTTTAATAGCCAGTTTCTGTGTGCAGATGGGCTGGTGTGCCATGGGCCAGCGACTGTACACCCTTCGTTGGAACTTAGCAGAGATGCCTTCCTCCACATGGGTAAACTAGAGCTGGTGGGGACAGTCCGCCCTGCTGCTCGATCTCTAAGGAAGACATTTGGTTGGACTCTGGTCCATTTAATAAATTCTGTCTGGGGCTGCTTTTGTTCTGAGTTGAGTCGTTTGAACAGAGCACGGCCCACAGAGACTGAAATAACCGTTCTGTGATGCTCTACAGAAAAAGCTTGCTAAATCTTGCTTTAAATTTTCCTTTTCTGCAACTTGGGTCATCCAGGGTGTGGCTGTTCACTTTGAAAAGTGAGAAACTAAGGTCCTTTAAAGCACATTGTTACGCTGAAGTTTAGGGAGTTTAATCCTTCCACAAACCTGGGAAGAAAACTGAAAATATTTGGAAAACAATCCTAGCGAACATATGGTTCTATCTCTTCAGCTCAACTTTTTTTCTTTTTTACCACCCCCCAACATGTTTTTCTTTTCATGAGGTGAAAGTTAAGCGTACAAATTTGAGGTGCACACCTTACTGGGTTTTTCTGTACCTTGCTGTCCCTGCCACACATAGATAACTATTCTGACCCTCTAGTACCATTGGGTAGTTTTGCCTGTTCAGAAACTTTATGTAACTAGAACATTCATGCACTTTTTTTGCGTCTTTTGCTCGTTGTGTCAGAGTAATAAATGTTGTACGTAGCTGCAGTTCCTTTTTAACATTTGTGTATGACTCCATTGTATGATTGTTACAACTTCTCCATCCTGTTGTTGGTGGAAATTTTGATTATTTCTAGTTTGTGGTCATTATGAATAAAGTTGATATGAAAATTTCCGTGTTTGTCTTTCGGTGAATATGTTTACCCAATCCCCTTGTGTTCTCTTTGGCATATAACCCTGCTTTCATATTTCCCTTTATGGTTGTTTCTTTAAGCAGATCATATTTATGAAGAGAAGGAGACACAGAAAGATCTTCCATGCCCTGACTCGCTCTGCAGCAATGGCCTGAGTTGAACTGGTCTCACAGTCTGAAGCCAGGAGCCAGGAGCTTCTTCCAGGTCTCCCATGGAGGTGCAGGGTCCCAAGGCTTTGGGCCATCCTCTGCTGCTTTCCCAGGCCACTGGCAGGGAGCTGGCTGGGAAGTGGTGCAGCTGGGACACGAACGGGTATCCATAAAGGAACTTGCAGGAACCCTCCTACAAGAGGAGGATTTGCCCATTGAGCCATCATACTGGACTCATGTGTTGGCACACCAAGCAGAGATTTCATAAATCGGGTGATTGCACTTCTCTGTTAAATCCTGCCAAGGTTCTGCATCATAGGCTCACGGCCTGCGTGGCTTTGCATGATGCTACTTCACACGTGGGCTTCTCCCCTCCCAATGCTGCAGCAGCATCATTGATCCCAGTTGTCTAGCTTCCTCATTTTGTACTAAACACTTGTTGATTTGGGAATCAAAATCAATGATTTGGCCCTCTGCTTAAGAGGTAATCTAAGTTTGACATGAACCACAACTCTGTTGCAATAAATCGGTTATCCCAAGTAATGCTATTTTATTCCTGAAAGAGACTAAAGATTCGGAGCTCTGGTGAATTTAAGAAACATAAACTTGTGTTTTCGTTCTGATGATGGATTAGAATTCAGCTTGACCGTGACGCTGTCAACCCGTTCACTTCTGTAGGGTTAGGTGTGGCCTCAGAGGCAAGGGTGAGCAGACAGGAGCGAGGCACGCTTCTGATACGTCCAAACTAGAACACTCATGAGAAACCTTTAGAGGTTCTGGTATGGTAGCCTAGCAGCTAAAGTCTCACCTTGCACGCACGGGGATCCCATATGATCACCATTACCAATCCCAGCATCCCTGCTTCTCATCCAGCTTGGACTGGGAAAGCAGTCAAGGACAGCCCAAAACCTTGGGACCCTGCACCCACATGAGAGACCTGGAACTGGCTCCTGGCTCCTGACTTCAGATCAGCTCAGCTCCAGCCTTTGCAGCTACTTGGGGAGTGAATCAGCAGATGGAAAATCTTTCTCCTTATCTCTCCTATCTGTATATCTGTGTTTCCAATTAAAGAAAAAAAATCTTAAAAAAACCTGAAAGATTGTATCATTGTTAGTACAGTATTTTTTACCATAAAACAACCAAAAATTACTTTTTTTAAGATTGTTTTTATTGGGCCCGGCGCGGTGGCGCAAGGGTTAAGTCCTCGCCTTGCACGCCCCGGGATCCCATATGGGCACTGGTTCTAATCCCGGCAGCTCCGCTTCCCTTCCAGCTCCCTGCCTGTGGCCTGGGAAAGCAGTTGAGGACGGCCCAAAGTTTTGGGACCCTGCACCCACGTGGGAGACCCGGAAGAGGCTCCTGGCTTCGGACCGGCATAGTATCGGCCCGTTGCGCTCACTTGGGGAGTGAATCATCGGACGGAAGATCTTCCTCTCTGTCTCTCCTCTTTGTATATCCGCCTTTCCAATAAAAAATAATAAAAATAAATCTTTAAAAAAAAAAAAAGATTGTTTTTATTGGAATTGCAGGTGAGATTGATTGATGGAGAAAGGAGAGACAAAGATCTGTGTACTGATTTCACTCCACAGGTGGCCACAAACCACCAGAGCTGAGCTGACCCGTAGCCAGAATCCTCAGTGTCTCCCACGTGGGTGCAGGCTCTGGGCCATCCTCTACTGCTTTCCCAGGCCACATGTAAGGGGCCGGATGGGAAGGGAAGCAGCCGGAGGCACAGACTGGCACCTATGTGGGAGCTGGTACTCGCCAGATGAGGGTTTAACCACTGAGCAATCATGCCTGACCCATTACCTAGATTTAGAAAAGACCAAGCTAACATGGTACAGCATGGATGAACTCTGAGAATATTATGTGAAGTGAAATAAGATGTTCACAAAAAGACAAATACTATGTGGTACCTCTTAAGTGAAGGTGCTTCGAGTGCAGTCTCAGGCACAATGGGTACTTGAGCCGAGAGATAATACAAAACCATGAGACATACTGATATGCAAATGATATATATCTAAATCTTTGTCTACACATGTCTGATAATATTTATAAATCATGTTCAATCAGATTAGCAGCAATAACGATGGAAACACATCTTCACAATTTCAAGGATGGAAGATTTGTTCTATGACAGACCTTAGCAACCTCAGTGTGTGGCCCTTTTTTTTTTTTAAGTTTTATTTATTGCAAAGTCAGATATACAGAGAGAAGGAGAGACAGAGGAAGATCCTCCGTCTGCTGGTTCACTCCCCAAGTGAGCGAAACTTCTGGAGCTGAGCCAATCCAAAGCCAGAAGCCAGGAACTTCTTCCAGGTCTCCCATGCAGGCCCAAGGCTTTGGGCGGTCCTCAACTGCTTTCCCAGGCCACAAGCAGGGAGCTGGATGGGAAGCAGGGCCGCCGGGATTAGAACTGGCACCCATATGGGATCCCGGCGTGTTCAAGGTGAGGACCTTTAGTTGCTAGGCCACGATGCTGGGCCCATGTGGCCCACCCCCTTTTTTTTTTAAGATTCATTTATTTTTATTGCAAAGTCAGATATACGGAGGGAGGAGAGATAGAGAAGAAGATCCATCCGTCTGATGATTTACTCCCCAAGTGACCGTAACGGTCGGTGCTGTGGATCCGAAGCCAGGATCCAGGAACTTCTGGGTATCCTACACAGGTACAGGGTCCCAAAGCACTGGGCCGTCCTCTGCTGCTTTCCCAGGCCACAAGCAGGGAGCTGGATGGGAAGTGGAGCTGCTGGGATTAGAACTGGCATCCATATGGGATCCAGGCGCGTTCAAGGTGAAGATCTTAGCCGCGAGGCCACAGTCCTTTTCTTAATGAGAGCATCACTTCTCATTAAAAGGAAGCTTTTCATGACTTCTCTTTGGTGGATTCAAATTGCCAGCATCGTGGCTCTTGCCCTGCCGATCAGTGCTAAGTAGGATCAACGTGTGTTTATCCTGATGACAGCTATTAAATGGCTAATGGGCATTTAGTATAAATAGCTTGAGTACACTGGACAGAGAGAAGATTGTTCTCCTGGGACAAAGCAGGTTGGTGCAAGATTTCATCCTGCGGCTTAGGACGCTGCACGGTTTCAAATGTATGAGCTGTTTATTTTTGGAATTCTTTATTTTCAGACCTTTTTTGACAGCCAGGAAACTACGCCATGGAAAATGAAATTTGCTGAAGGGGCACCATTGTAGTAAAGTACCAAGGTGCAGAAAGAATGGTGGCGGCCAGGGGCTGGACAAAAGACAGAATGAAAGTTGCTCTTGAATGCACAAAGAATTCCAGTTTTGTAAAACATGAACAATTCTGGTGATTAATGTTGGTACAATGTAAATGTTCTTAATACCAATGAACTATACAGTTAGTGAATATTTGATCAGAAAAAAATCAGGTTTCAGAACATGTAATTTTTTTTTTTAAGATTTGCTTTTATTTGGAAGGCAGTATTACAGAGAGAAGGAGGTAAAAGGTTTCCCAACCACTGGATCACGCCCCCAAATGGCTGCAGGTGACCAGTGTTGAGCCGATCTGAAGCTGGGAGCCAGGAGCTCCTTTCTGGTCTCCCATGCTGAGTGCAAGGACTTGAGCCATCCTCCCCTGCTCTCCTAGGCCATAAGGAGGAAGCTGGATGGGGAGTGAAGCAGCTGGGACCTGAACTGGCTCCCATATGGAATGCTGGTGCCAGAAGTAGGAGGGTTAGCCTGCTGTGCCAGCTCAGAACATGTCAAGTTCTGCCAGAAACATCCCATGCCTCTCCAGTTTCGCTGTTACGTATTTACTTAAGAAAAATAAACAAAACAAAAACATCCATTGTTTGAAAATATGTGTAATAGCTTTATGCACAGTAAACCAAAAATAGACAACGAAGCAAATGTGCACCAATAGGAAATGGATAAAAAGCATCCTGCTCACATAATGGCATGCTACTCTGGAACTACTGGCACACAGAAAAATACAGAGAACTCCAGCAGTTGGGGGCTGAGTACTTGGCACCACTGTGAAGCTGCCACGAGGCATGCCCACATCGGGTGTTCTAGTTCCAGCTCTTATTTTTTTTAAAACAGTTAACATTCATTTCGTGCTTTTGCTTATAAAGCACTGTTTTTTTTTTTTAATTAATAGTACAAAGGTGAGCACATTACAGATCCACGTGGGCCACGTGGATTAGAGCAGTGTGGGATACTGTTTCAGTTCTCCCTCCTGTGTTGGCTGGGGGAGAAGGTGTGCCACCTCTTCCAGCTCTTTCCTTTCTTCACGCTGGGAGAGGCAGCAGGGACTGGCTCAGGCAGGGACCTGGATCCCGCCCACCCCCTTGGGAGAGAAGTCACTGTGGATTGAGTTCCGGGTCCCTGACTTCAGCCTGCCCCTGTCCTGGCTATTGTCAGCATCTGGGGAGTGAAACGGCAGATGGAAGATGTTCTCTCTGCATTTCCAATCAAAGGAAGGTAACTAAATAAAAATGAGGAGTATATTATGCTGAGAAAAAAAACAGACACGGGGGAAAAATGGACATATGCACACCAGGATATTTGATATCGACAGCAGAAGTTAATTTATGGTTACAGATATCACGGGAGTAGTTGCCAAGTTAAATAAAGGGGGTGAAATTAGGGCTGAGGAAGGCTGGGAGCTAATGGGGAACATGGGAGTACAGAGGAGTTACTGACTAGACAGGCTCAAGGAAAAACATCCTCATTGGATGAAAGTATTTAGACCTTGACCACGGGCTGTTGATTCCACAAGTGCACATTGATTAAAATTCAGCAAACTGTATCATTAATAAACTTGAGTTTTCTGTTACACATCCAACTAATTGGCATT